AGTGTTTTTATTTCTTCTCAAATATCCTATACATACATAAATACTTTTTTCAAACAAAATAAATAACGAAATCACTTAATTCACTCATCATTCTTAAAATATTGTTTATTCAAATATTCCGCTTAAAAGAAATTAAAATTAAAACAAATTAAGTTCCTTTCAAAAAAAGAAAAGAAAATAATAATCAACACCCATTCACTTCCTGATTGTACAAACGTTTAACACATTACATTATAAAAAGATTAAAACTTCTACTTCATCTTGCATTTAACAATACTATACACTAACATGCAATAATTAATCTGCTACACACACACACGCTCTCTCTCTCCCACCCTCTCTCTCTCTCTCTCCATATATATATATATATATATATATATATATATATTCCTATAAAGAAGAGTTAATTCACAAATATACCATAGTGACATGACATGAGAAAAGAATTTTAAGAGAAATTAAAAAAAGTAATTTCAACTGATTACATAATCGAAATTGATGTTTTGTTTCCCTTCTTGTTTTTTTTCTTTGTTGTTTTTCCTCCTTTATTTTTCCTGATTTCCAAATATGAATCCATGACAATTTTAAACAAAAAATTGAATATTTTATTTTATTCTTTTTTAAATATTTTTCTGTTTTGTTTTATGAATAACATTCATAATAAATTGGATCCAAGAAAGAAAAAAAAACGATAAAGAGAGTAAAATGATTTGATTTTTCATTCGTTTTTGTGATCCCTTGTTGTTAGTGTAGCTGTATTTGATTGTATGTTTGTTTTTCTTTCAAGTTGGAATAAAATATATACAGTCAGTCACATAACTAATAGTTGAATCTTTTCTGAATGTTTGCAACGTTAATGACTTTTTATAACCCAACCTATTTCATTCCTTTGTTTATAATGTTTTTTTTCCTACTTTCATTTCACTATTCATATTTAATATGATCATAATTGTGACGAGTTGGGGTTTTTTCCATCACATACACACACACATATATACGTACGTATTATCTTTTGCTGTGTCTCCTGCTCATTCATTCACCATGTCTTCCTTATTTATTTACCCTCCATTTTAGAGATCTCAAGATTTCAATTTCCCTTTTTCATTTGAAATTGAAATTTGATATTCGTTAAAAATTTGAACAAAAGGAAAAATGAGGAGAAAGACACTAAAAAAAACCCAGACGAAATAAAGAAAAGTACAGAATAAAATTTCATGAAAGAACTTTCTTTCACTTTATTAAGAATAATTTCTTAGTAACATGAATGAACGAATAAATAAATTAGTAAGCATGAATAGAAATTATTTACAGACAAACATTGGTAACCTATGAAAAACAGGAGAATCATTGAGTGATTGGAGCATGTTAGGTATGAGGCAAATACCTACTAATGATTTTGAAAGATAATGACACAATATTTCTAATCGATTGAAGTTGAAAATGTAAGCCATTGAGTGCCAACTCAATGATTTAAAGGTTAGACGTTTACTATGAAGAGTTTAAACTCGACTCGTGGTGTAGGATCATGGATGTGCGAATTCTGAGAAGCTTCATACTAAGTTGAGACAGTTTTCCCAGTGCTTCCTGGCTTTTAATAGTTCATGAAAAATATCAACTGCATATGTGATCAAATTGTTCAAAATATAAAAAAACTTAACCATCTTACAACATCAGTCAAACAAACTAAAAGATATACGTGTATTGATACTGGATATTTTCGCTTTTAAAATACATTTGATTGTATCATGGCTAATCACTATGCTGTCAATATCATCTCGTACACCGTACGTATTGATGATTAATTGCTAAATAATCTAAATGTGAATAAGTTAGAAAGGAATGCGAATATATTAATAATACAAGTAGGTGAACTTAATACGTTACATAATTATGTACTTATTATGAGGTATCTTTATGGTATTTACTTTATAATAATTAGTGAGAAACTAAATAAGATACTTTGTATGACAGGTATATATATAACACTGTTAAACCAAGCATCAAAGTGTATTCATTTTAGTGACCAGACATTATAAGAGAGAAAGCCTGAAAAACCACAGTGAGAAAACAGTACATTATTAATAACAATAAAGGTGATGACAAATAAAATCTAATTGAGAAATGAACGAAATAGTTGTGAATAACAAAAAGAAATATGTTCCAACAAGTCTGATTTTGTAGATATTGTCCTCTCAAGCCGGTCTACCAGTTAAGGATAAAAGTTCACTTTGTACCGAATCAATATAGATTTAAAAAATTTCCTTGATCTTGTGGGAGAAGTTATAATGGCCACACTAAACAATCAGTTTCCAAACGCGTTTAAAAATAATACTTCGAGTGGCTTTTAAAAGCGGGATCTAAAGTTATCATCAACTCGATACAGGAACAACTAATCAACTCTGGACACTGTAGTGGTAAATAAATCCCCCACAATAAATAGCTCTATAAGTTTTCGACATTGGATGCTGACCACATTTTTTAATGGACTCACCTAGCTGAAGGCACTCGGTCATGCATACGCACCAGATCACGAGTGAGAACGCCGTGCTCAACGTCTACTGCAATTGCTAGCCAGATTAGATCAGACGATCCTCGATATATTCATAGCTTATCAAATATACCTTCGAACCTCCTTGCTTCTGTCTTCTGATTTCCTTTGGTGGGTACGCTTCATATAGGTGTTACTGATTTAAGCGTTGTCAAACTCCGAATACCAGTGGCATCTTCAACACGTTACTTCACAGAAGTCATCCTTGAAAGTAATCTATGCAACCAAAAGAATTAGACCAAACGGAGGTTGAAACAAAGACCTATGCACTGCTGAACAGTTGACGATCCACCAATTCAAGGCCGGACTATCTGTGCGAAAACGAAATGTCTAACCACTCACCCTTCCTTGGTCCTTATCCCCCCTACCCAGTACGTTTTGAGTTTTTATTTTGTAATTTTTTTTAAAACGTAATCACGTATTATTCTCCTCTAACTATTTGTCATGATTATCCAATTATTGTGAGCTTTACGTTTTCCATTTCCTTTCATATCTGTCAAGTAGGTAATTGTCTCATATTTCCGACCGGTAAATTATTATCATCCTCCTATCCTTCTCCAACCCTGGGATCATTACGCGTCCTCCTTTTGATATTTTAAATCTCGGATCACTTTACAATCTATTTCCCTACAGACATATATTTGTCGAACTATAAACACGAATGTACAGCTTAAGTAGATGATTTCCTTGAAAAGAGAATTTTATTCGCTGAATCCTCTTCATTTTTATGACAGTGAGATACTTTCAATAATAATACATCTATGGTTATTATATTATTATTCGTTAAACCCGCTTTTTGCATCTGATAATAATAATGATATAAACGCACTTCTACGTTAAATCTTACAAAGATAGGTTACAGTAGTTTCAACAAATTTACTGACCATTTAGTTTTGGAGATACGATGACAGTGTCAGGAGCAAGGTGAAGGTATATTCCTCATGTATGTTGCCCAGTAAATTTAAGCGCATGAATGTTTGATACTGTGATGAGTTGTTGATTGATTGATACGCATACCTCCTGTCAATTCGTTAAAAACTATTAATATTCAGAATTTCTCAGTCATCTAGTAGACTTCTCTAACCCATGTGATTCGCGTTTTATTAGGTTAACCTTTCAGTATTTCGGGAACGCTAGGATGATTGTTAGATTTAAGTTGGAACTAACTCTACAGCGTGATCTGGGGGAACCATACAGAAGTGAACCCCAGAATTAGGAATCACCAGGCGAGCACAGTACCCCTTAAATCCATACAACAGTTCGACGATCGATATTTTCAGCTCGTCAATAAATGACAGCGCGACGGATGGTCACAAACATTCTGACTAAAACGAACGAGATATATTCACAAATATTTACTGAAGTCCTTACATCAATCAAATTAAGTTGTTGTTTCTACTTGTTTAAATGACTTTTTGAGCTGGTTTTAAGAATAATTCTTTTGAATACTGGGTGAAGGATTGAATTTGACGCTATTCTTGTAGGATTTCAACTACCGGCATTTTAAATGATGGGTCTGATCAAGTAAAAGAAATATTAGTGTCTATGGGATTTCGATCTGGTATGTAGGTTTCTCTATGTTCAATTATTAAGTACAACTCGTGTATGCTGCTTTTAGTACAAATACGCAGAGGACTTCCATTACTTTAGTTATTTTTTAAAGTCAATGTAAGTAATCAAATGTTTCCACTGAGATATTAAAAAGACAGGTTGAGAGAAGAAATAGTTCTTCTCAATTAGTTCTTCATCAGGCCTCTACACGAAATCATATATTTGCAGTACTCCATGGCATTAAGTCATTGGCAACTGAACTGCTTCATTTAAATAGTTGTAGGCTACCTAGTTGGATTCCACGTGATTATCGTAACCAGTAGTTGGGTTTCGAGTGACATCTCAGAATCTTTCGCCATAGCACACGTCCATTTAATTCATGTCTTTCTATAGAACCTGAGTCTTGAAATCGCCTTATACGTTTGTTTTTCTTTTCTATATCAAGCCTTTTTCACCAATGATATTTTTATTACTCTATGGTTAGTCAGGAAACAATTTTATCTCGTCATGATAATGTGATATGGTGACCAATGCATATGTCTAGTTCTACGTTGCATATAACTGATTGAAGGTCTTCATTTATCCAAATTCCTGAGATTGACTGTTTCTAAACAGAAAAAGTATCTCCACGTTTCCTTTAATATGTATTTCGATATTACAAAAAAGTATGAAAGACAATAGAAGTCGTTAATGTCGTAAAACACGTTTAGATATACAGTAAATAACAACTATCAAAAACGTTTACTGACCCCTATCGTTACGATTAACATTTGTAAAGTAACAAATAAAAAAGATGAGGAAAAAGAGTAAAAATTATAACCAAACTCAATATGTAAATCATATCAAAAATACATGAATATTAACTGAAGAACTTAGTTTCCTTGAACAAAATTAATAGTAATTATGATTCCAGTCCATATTTTTCAATAAGGCATCTAGCTTTATTCACGTACAAAGTTTTGGCTTCTTCGCTGCAAATACCTGTAATTTAGAAGTAAACAGTAATAGAATTAACAAGAAACCACTTTCATGACTTTTGCTAGCGTTTTAGCAGGCTCTACGTTGCGTAAGACTGACTGGTGACTTTTTGGGACCATTTATCAGGACAGTGATACATAGACTATTTCTCAAACATCGAAAAGTGAAACTGCGAGCTGATGGTTGGTAATAAAATAAATCAATGCGAAACACTTTACTGGCTTATACCATCGGTCAGTACAATCGCTACATTTCGCAAATAACTACGCGATGAAATGAGAGTAAAGATACCCAGTTATACCACAAACAGTTTTTCTAAACTTATCTATATGAACTGTAATCCAAGGCCAAAATACGTCTAGTATAGTAAGCTTTTAGGCGGATAATTCAGCCATACGTTTAAAACACCCCTTAGTGAAATTTGCATCCTATCACATGAGTGACCGATATTATGTAAGTTTCTCAATTGCCTTCAACGAATAATCGGAAAAATTGACGGCATTTCGTATCAAACAAAATCAGGATATTTGCACTCATAATTAGCTGAAGACTATGAACTCAGTTCACGGTATACAGGTTTCTCTGTTTGTAGGAGGGTGAATGGTCACTGATCCCTTAAGATTGCCATCAACGGGTATTTGTTGTGGTTATTTGTTAAGCAGCTTAGAAACCTTAATATAATAATTAATAATTGTAGAGCCCAGGATGACTTTGCTACTGAGTTCTAACACTCAGTTGTCATGTTTTAAAAAGCAGTAATACGAATGCGTATATAGACGCATATATATAAATCGTTACTTTAATCTGTATTTTCCTTCATTCTAAGATTATTCAAGAGCTCAACAGTTTTTTATAGTGTATGAGAAATACTTTGAAACAACACGTTACTAAATAAAGTGAAACTTGTCTTTTACATCCAAAAGGAGTGGAACTCAGGTTGAACCAAATATTTTACATAGTTCAACTACATTGGTCGGACGCACACAACCACCTTTATCTTGTATACTCTTTTTATCTAATTAGCACAACGTTTCAGCATAGAATGCTTCTATTTCTCTGTACATCAAATTAGAATGTACTTCAGGGTCATTGGTTTACGGTGAATAACCGGGAAGCAAGCAGACCAAACGTCACACTACTAATATATTTCTGGACGGTTGTGATGCGGATATTTAACCACGGTTACCAATATCTAGTCTTACGGTTTTACATACTGTCCGCAAGTTCAGTTTGTAGCGCACAAGAGTAGCTTATAGAAAAAGACAAATTAGGCAACAGTAAACAAATTTTTTCCTTGGCAGTCAGGTCAAATTTGATGTTTATTCCTACGACTGTCATTGTGCTGCATGTTTTAGTTAAAATACACAATACTAAGGTCAATCTTACAATCTTAAATATAAACTATTGGTAAGGAACCACAACCATGGGGACATACAGTACAATGTATGGCAAATTAAGCAAAAGCGCACGTGTCCCAATCATATAAGATTAGTGAGTGATTATTTTGAGTCTCCCCACTCATCCTAAGCAGAAAAATTTCCAGCTTTAGTCTGCAGAATGCATATTTGTTATAGTGGTGTGGCAACTTGTCATTAATCAAATGGAAAACCTAGCCTATGTGCTTGTGAAGATATTTTTTAAGTACATCCATGCCTGTACTACATATATATGGCTTTGAACGACTACTTACCTTTTTTCCATTCCAGGCGTTCCATTTCGCCTTTCCTTTTAGATCGAGGATACCAGGTGCACCTAGTGAATAAACTATAAACTAAAAAACGCACATGTATTGTTGTCACCAACTGTAGCTTGTTTGTACAAGCCGTAAAGTTCGAGGAGATCATTATCATTAGGTTTTGTTTTAAGCTTTTTAACTTTTTCAGCGTGACTGTTAAATTCCTAAAAAAACATAAAGTTAGGCAAGCATACATACCTCCATAGTAACCATGGTCCCTGTGTCACTACACCAAGGTCGAGATTGTAATACGCGCTGTAAGTTTTAAGCCCACTGATTTAGTTTCACCGTGTTTTGGACACTTGTTTGAATGTGCATGGTGAGCGTGTGGTTTAAGTTGAAGTTTTTGAAGCGTTGATTTATTAGCACGTTTTTACGGCTATGGTTTCCTCAAAGTATCTACATTTTGGACCTTCATTGGAAAACAATTCGCATTGATTTACACACGTACACCGACCTACTATTCTTCTTAATGAAGACTCTCTTCTTATGTCTAGTGTTTTTCTGAATTTCTTCTACTTAAGTCCACACCGAGTGTATGATATCGGTTTTCAGAATGGTCTTTACTTATGGGCTTTTGTGCTTCTTTTCTCAAATATTTGTCCACTAGGCATACATCTATCGTTAACGTAGTAAGCAGTGTCGTAAATAATTCACAGCTTTCTGTTAATCTAAATGATGGATGAAGGGAAATGTTTTGACTTCACCTTTTTATTTAAAACGACGAAAAATTAGGAAATTTTCAGACAGTTTTACTTAGGGAATAAGATTTCATTTTCACTCAGTCCCTGGCTTTATCCTTCCAGCTTTTATATCAGGCCGAAGATCTGACAAAAGAAATATCATTGTGGAAATGTGAGTCAAACTAGTTAGAGAAACCAACTGGGCCACTAAACTACACTAAAAGACTTCTTGGTAACTGCATGTCTAGCGTACAGATGGCCACATTTATTTTCACTGATAGCCACAAAACACGACTTGCACTAGCTAGCTAGAATATCTAGGTCGGTCTGAATTTCTTGTTTATCGGTATCTCCGACTACTTCCCTTCAGCTTTCAATGTGGCCAGCTTAATGTAGAATCGGGAACCTAATACACTAGGATTTCATTCACGTGGAGTATATACGGTTAATGGTACAGGACGGTGACTTACTGTAATCCGCTAAGTACTAGTTTATTAGTGAAGCATTAGAGATTTATACTAGTTTTTTTGGACGACCCATCACTACACTTCTGAACGGTTGTCTAGAGATTTCCAGAATAAACAGTAGTTCAGTACCTGAAACCTCCTCAAAATTATTTCTGAAGCCAAAGCAAACATCACTAGTTGGTTTTCCATTATCAAGCAACTAATTTCAGATGTGCATGACAATCCGTTACTAAAATCTTGTTCTGTACTGTTTGACACATTATCAGTGTTGAGACGGGACAATCAGAAACGACCATTTGAGAACGGTACATCGCACCACACAGAAGCCACCAAATTAAATGCGTATTTATTTTTCCAAGGAATGGCTTCATTTTATAAGCGACAAAACACTAAACACCAATGGGCCTAACTTCCTGAGGGACTGAAAGATACATTTAAATAGGTGTATATAGATGAAGGATGGCCTCTACACAATAAATTTCCTTTTGACTCTATGTTTTTGCAATCGATAAACGGTTGCGTTCAGCATGATGATGTCACAGGTATTCAGTGTTTGACAACGCTTCTACCAGTAACACCTTCTAACGTATTTCGTTCCCACCCAGAGAAATCAAAAGACAGAGTCGAGGAGATCGGAAGAGTATATTTGGCGACGACCAATATATCGGAATTCCTGATCTAATCTGGCTAGCGATTGCGGTTGATGTTGAGCACGGCGTTACCACACGTGATCTGGGGCGGATGCATGACCGAGCGCCTTCAGCTGGATGAGTCCACTAAAATATACGGTCAGCATCCAATGTCGAAAACTTAGTGCTATTTATTTTGGGGATTTATTTACCGCTACAATTAGAGGATTTCAAATGAAACTTGACTTTCGGACACTATACTTCTAAGTCCGAAGAGTTTACTGCCTTCAGTACATTATCTCCATTGAATTTCACTGTAATCAGTCAATTGAGTGGCTTAACATCTGGACTTAGTCATTTATCTGGAGGGGACTAATGTGTTGAATATGTACCGAAGTTAACAGCCATGACATTCTCTTTGTTCTGAGCTTCCTCTATTATTCTAAATGCACTTCGTCCCATAATTAAACTGTGAATCCGTCCGTGAATTTTCATCCTGTAATTTATATGTTAGCCCAATAGCTCTTGCTGTATGACTGAAGTTTTCTCCACGTGATATTCATATTTCTGATGAGCTGATCTATAAACAGATAATTATCACAACTCGTTGCACAAGAGCACAAGTAAAAATTCAAATTCAGTGTAAACACATTATATCGTAAAATCAACTAGGGAAATACTTCGCCAACTCTCCTTAGAACCCTTATGGTGCCATCGTCAAAGGAACGATCTAATATTTCTCTGCAAAGCAATATATGGACTCCCATTTCTAACCTCCTGCGCGACCACGATTTATGACCCTTTCTATGGACTCAGAAACAACGCAATGCTTACTGGAAAACACCGAAAACCAAGGCATTGTACGTTTTTTACAGTGCGGTATAATTTATTATGGAATACGTTGCCAATACCTATCCGTAACTGTGACACTATCACCAAGTTCAAAAGACTAATAACATTGTTACTTGACTCTAAAGAGTCTAATCAACCATTCTCTGAACTTTCACCCACCAATGACACGCTTTATTATGGACCGCCTAACATCTAAACAGATCGTTAGTATAAGGAACCTCATTGTCATTAATATGAATATAACCAAATGATAGAACATATGGTTTACACTATCCGATTATTGATTGACTATGAGTTGTGCCCTTAGCTCCTACATCTCACCTCCAGATTCCGAATCTCTCTAATGAAATTCATATGGAATTAATGAGTTAATATTATCGCTCAAATCAATAAGCTGTTTAGCATCGTTACAACAGCTAAACTTAAACAAGAGGGGGCATGTTGATCTGTCTGAATTTTTCTAAGGCGGATGACTTTGCAGTTGTCGTTCAGCATACCCCATAATCTAAGGCGAATTTCCCTTAAGTTAGACGGGTGTGTGCGGTCGAGGAGGTTATACGCGACTGCATTGGAGGAGGACATCACTCTCTTCGTCACTTCTTCAGCCTTAATCTCCAAAATACACTCGGCTTTAGTAAGCCGCTCAAGATTTCGATCAGTATCAAGGCCTCATATACGTGTGAGGGGTGCTAGTTGATTAAGTCTGCCTTTAATTTTGACCAGAGAGTTTTGTAGCTGACGGATGTCAGTACTATATCTATCAGTATTTGGTGTGAACGAAATGAACTATTAGACTCTTTAGTCTTTGAAATTTTGACCTTAGGCCTTGGTAAAACATGCTGTCTAGTAGACTGCGCTGACTTTTCGATGCACGTGGGTACTGTGCCTTGTAGGTCAAACAGTCTTACCGTTAGTGTAGTGTGCGCAGAAATAGAGGGTTGTAACACGGAGAATCAGGTACTGATAGTGATATTTGTGAATAAGACGCATATTGTTTAGTAGATAAAGGTTCGTCATTGTCATATACTAAGACGTAAATCAGATTTGGGCCTGTTATTTGGCTTAGAAGTCGGTGAAATGTCTCTTTTACTGAAGTAATTGGTCATGATTTGAAATTGGGTGAATAGAGAGCTCGTTAAACAAAATATAATATCTGAGTATATAGTCGTTATTAAGTTCAAATCCGATTGATACAAGTAACAGAGACTATGAGCATATAATAAGTTTCGGATCTATTTAAGACTTAAGTCCGCGATAGGAATAATATTAACTGGTAAGTTTCCGTCGAAGTTTTTTTCAGGGTAAAGTGTACCCGATAGACAAGATAGGATGATAGTCTTCGTATAATACACCCTACAAATGAACCAGTTGAAGAATTCCTATACCACTTTCAAATTTTGCACGGTAGGTTAAAGTTGCATTATTATTCTTAAGTGTCGTGTCGTTTTTTCTATTACAAGTGGACAGATAACTCACTAATCTTGTGGATGCTGATCAAGTATGGCCAACCATAAAATGCTCATAATATCCTAAATTCTTGTGATTCGCTAAATGTTTTGTTTCTCACTCTGAAATTTTACAATTCTAAACCCTTGCATAGTCTTTGATTTGCTATCTTTTAGATTTATGGTATACTTCGTTAGTAATCCTGCTCTTATAATAGACCTAATCCTTAAATTGGAGATTTGTCATGATGTAACTGACTAATCTATAAGATCTTACATGGAAGTCACACCATTTTCTACACCAACTCATCGCATCGTAAAATCACCAGTATATGTTGTAGAACACAATTGGGCTAGAGATAGAGCAATATTTTCAACATGAATAAAATACATAATACAACACCGAAGAATGACCATGCCTGAAAAGCCCAGCCATGCCACTCGACGGAATGAATTCATCCTTCCTGCCTTCTACATCGTTGGGTTTTTCTTCAAGTTAAATGTTGAATATCTATTTTCCCGGTTGTTTCCTGTTCACATTTCAGGATTGTTTGGTTACAACCCAGTGCCACTACAATCTATCCTTACCATCTCTAACCACACATAATCTGAATAGTGTCCTATAATTTATATTATTAGTTATCTTCATAGCAGTCTGAATATCTAACCCATAATATAGCTTTGATCATCTACATTGCTTGTAACATGAAACTTGTGGAAGACGTTTATTCAAACAAGGAACTTATATTAGAGCAATATTATGCATATCACAGACGGAAGAGAACCTAACATCACAAAAGGAGGGAGGGTGACGCTACTAACCAGCACAACATGATGGTGCGGAGATAAATTCAATCAGCCCATGTCTGTAGATACGAACATGTTGTTGAATTACGGCTCCTTATGACCAAGGGGGATATTACAAACCAATGATATTGACACTAATATACAACGCAAAATACCTCTTTAAATCATGTTTGTGAAGCTGAATTTTTTAACTTCTACCGAGTAATCCTATTACAAGTGAAACTAGACAATTTGCTAAAAACGAAGTCTGCTCATGACCCTCTAAGATCAATAAAATTGAAAATGAGCTGATATAGCTTCGACAAAAAAGGAGACAGCGAATTCTGTATC